AGAAGTTTTTTTTTTTGCGCCCAAGTGGAATTATTGATTGCCTGTGTGTTTCTGTTTTTCTTGCAAAGTGTTCAAATCCTTTCTCCCTCCAGTTATCTGTTTATTTGTTTTTAGTTATTTTTCTTTGACATTTGCTGTGTGGCTATTAATTTCAGTCCCCGGCAGCAAGAGCGACCCATTTGTTGTTTAGTTTTGTTTCTTATCCTTCTTAACTGGCTTTATTTATGTTGAAGTCATTCATTTTCCTTTCGTTCTCTGTTTGTGTTTTCGTTCACCGACTCTCGTCTAAGCCGAAGGGCAGGAGTAGAATAATGATGGTGTTTTTGTACTTTGTTTAGCAAACAAAGATGGGGTTTGTTTACGTTTTTGTTGGGACTTGCAAGTGTGAGAACTTACATTTTTCGATTGTTTATTAGAAGGATAATCCCCGCATTATTTATTTTAAGAACAATTCAAATGGGAAGTTTTTAAATATCTCATTAAATAACGTAGAAATGAAATCGACAGGGCCACTTGTTGTAAACTCTTAACTTTCATCTAAGACATGTTACACTAACTACAAGGTAATTGAAACCCCATACCTGATTTGGTGGGATAGGACGAAAATTGTGAAAATGAATTTTAAGTTTAGTTTCAAGCATATATTCCATTTATGACCATTTGCAAGATGCATACTTACAGCTGATATCTACACTTTACGAATTGTCAAAAATCTAAAATAATCTGCACTAAGCTACTGAACATTTTTGAATAATGGCGTGTGTATTCGTCATTGAGCATTAAATAGCATCAATGCATGTAGAATTATACCACACAATAAGAAAATATAATAAATGTCAGTAGCTTCCTAAAATATAATACATCAAAAATATTATGAATATTTTAAAACGTCTCCTATATCATTTGAATCCTTTTTTCAACTTTCAACTGAGAATGTACTTTTATAAAAATAAAAACATCTCATTACAATTGTTCTGCTTGTGTGACAAAAATAAAGAAAAAACGAAATGACGTATGTATTACACGCAACATTAATTTACACCTATGTATCGTTTCCAAGCAGTAACTCTTTCAACACATAATTCCACATTGCAGGTTATGTATTTATTTAAGTTTAAAAAAACGCCACTCTCAAGCCATGCTAAACATATTTAAATTCAAAATAATACAACCCACTGAGACCACACTACTTCGGCTACAAATCAAGAAGTCATATGACGACATTCTGGAGCTTGCCGCATGGGCAAAATTTTGTCAAAGCCGTCGCTAAGGATAACCTTTAATAATGGCGTTCACAGTCCTAGTTTCAAAATCGTGACTCCCATTAAAAATACAGCAATTTTTGGCATTATTGAACTAATAACGACAACGCCCCTTGTTTTACTCGGAACAGAAAATAGGTTGTTTATGGATCCCCACTGCGACACACTTGGATGCATTACTTTTGATGCCTTTAACGTTACTAGTAAAAGTGGAGGTACAAGGGCAACGCGTGCCACTTGCTAATATCCATATTTAAGGGTTCAGCAGATATGTTCGGTCTTTCCACACTCCACGCATATATCCGTTTCCTGTGTGCATTTTTCCAAATAACACGATTTTCATTACTAATCCCATCAAGGAGAAAAAGGTTTTTGGAGTTGATGATGGAAACATTAGAACATTCTCGCCGGTTGTTTGTCGCTGCTTCATTCCTGCATTTGACAGCAATCCCCAAACCACCACCAACCATCCGAACATTGAACGTTTCGTCGCATGCACTTGACTGTTAACGGCTTACCGCCTTCGGGCCACACAAAATGAGCCTGAAAGTTGTCTGACAAAAACATTTACACTCCTGCATATGGTTGATAAACTGAATTTTTATGTTACCAACAAAAAAAAGAGAAACAAATGGACTGTTATTTAAGCTTTTGCTTTGTAATATTTATTGTTATTGCTGAACACAATTTTCGGGGGAACGGGGGTGGATTTTTATTTATGTGAAGTTTTGGAACTAATTTCTAATTTGCACACTCCCCCGAAAATTCTGTGTATTACTGCTCCTGCTCGAACACTTTTATTTAAAATGTTTTTTAGGATTTGGTTCGCCCGGAGTGAAGAAGGTTCCTTTGCAAGCGTGTCGTGTTGTGGTGTGTTGAACACGTGGCAATTATGTTTGCCTAGATCGATCAGTCGTGGATAAGGTATTAGAAGTTCATTTGGGAATATTGATGCGGTTATTTACTGGCATTTCCATATCCAATAAATGGAATTGACCCGCCACCGTACATAAATTGTTATTGCTTCATTCTCCATCGGGTAGCAGAATATATAAAATGGTTCTTGGAACATAAAAATTGATCTCATAATAGCAAGTACTTTATATAATGGTGAAGCGAGGGCAATGTTACGAAAAAAGGGCTATCAATATCACATTATATAATTGTTTTCCTTCGACAGAGGACCAGTAATCATACAAATTTTCGTACAAATCAACCTCACAGAAGACCTCACAGATGTATATGTACTCTAGACAAGAATTGGATGAATTCTTTTTTCACCTCAGGTGGATTTTTAAAGCAGATATTTTTCCGCAATCATTCAAATTCCCCAAAGACCTAATGATTCCGTGATAAATGTAAAGTTGTTGTTTCGTTCATTTGAAAGTAAAATTCGCATTTGGGTTATTACTATCTTTATGAAATAAGTGATTATCTTAAAACTAAGCCTATTGTATCCCGCGTAAGCAGCTTATGTGCCACCAAAACGACCAGAGTCCGCACGATAACGAAAAACAGGTTTTCATTTCAAAGTGTCCCATTATTATCAACACATTTTCCTAACCCATGAAAACGTAGTTTAGTATTTGCTATAGGACGAAAGCGAAGATTAATATTTGCGATAATTTCAGTATTGTTGCCGACGAAGACAGCACAGTGAGGGGGGGTCACAAGGGAATTTTGAAGAAGAACTAAAACTCGATTTTCCAAATTTGCCTTGGATGGAAAAACAACATGTGTTTTCTATGACTCTGCAAATCACACATACACACACTGGTGCCCACTGAGGGTTGAAATCACCGCCACTTTCGCTTCCTGGTGGCCTTACCAAGCGTCTGCCTCTTTCAGTCAAGCATCAAATGAAGCAAAGTTGCATTAACACCCCCATTGCAGATAAATGTAAGCACTTGACATTACGTTGTGGTATTCGAAGGATACATGCAATCTCCCTGTGTTTTTAGATGTGTGCACTGTTACCTCGAGGGAGCAATCAATTCCCGTTTTTCCTATTTTATCACTGAAGTTGGAAGCAAACCTTTGTAGCACTTCTTTCTGTTGCTTTGAGCATCGTGTGCTTCATTAGCATGGAAAACTGAGACCTGTTCTGCTTAAGAATTGTGTGGTAGCTGGGCTATGACTCGACTCACCATTTGTTGTCAATAAGCACTTGTTAAGAGCGAATGGAGCACACTTCTTACGAAACACTGACGAAAGGACAATCGCCTAAATAAAGTCTGATTTTATAGATATTATTGGCACAGATGTGCTTCCCTCACACTCCATATGCCTAACTTCGATTTTCTGAGTTTCCTCAAAAACTACACTCAAAAGCCGTTGAATTAAAGTGATTCTAGTGAATCCATTTACGTAATTGCCTCTTGAAAAAACACAGAGGAAGTATATTTTCGCATTGTTCCCACTGGCAAGACTTGACATAAAAAATGGCACTTGCTATAAATGTAAATATTGTTTTGCATGATAACATTTATGTAAGGGCTGTTGAAACTTAGCAATCTAAACGCTCGACCACCTCGTCACTATTTAAATGTGGTCTAAGTAACTTTAGATATATGTGTAAGCCTTATTAAAACACGAAGTTCCTCTTTTAATCTTGCCCTAATATTTAACAATTTTGTAGAGTGAAAAACTTTGTATTGAAGTCTTAGTTGTTGAAAGATTTGTTGCGACTACAATAGTTATCGAAATCGGTGAATATTCTCTGTCAAGTTACAATTTGATAGGATTTTAAAATCTTGATCGGACTAAAAAAATAGTGCGAAAAAATGTCAGATATATTTTTCATATAGGTATCCAAGAGTATGTACGTGCTCTTCAATTAACATCTGTGTTTCTAGGTTGCAATTGTAGGGATTACATTAATCTGCGTACAGTTCTTCATTTTGCAAGAAAGTTAGAGCCCATCAACCTGAAGTGTTGGTTCAAGAGTTCGCATTTATAAATTCTCACGTAACATACAAACTGATGCTCCATTAGTACAAACTTCTATTTTTGAACACCCCTTCCCAGTTCGTGTTTATCGAGTCTGGAACTATTTTCCAAGTTTGCTGAGAAAATCTGGCTATTCTTACTCCACATATAAGAAGTTATTGAAATCGCATTTCAATGTTGATTAGGGTGCATAAAATTAACTTGTTGTTGTGGGATCCTTAACCTCATTTTAATTTTAGAATATTCATATGGCCGGGGGCCATTTTCATTCTTTTTATTGTTAATATTTAGATTTGTCTATTCTGTCATAGTTTAGCACTATTTTAAGTTAATCTTCCAACTGCTGCAATACTACTTTTCATTTCAATATTTATTTCAATTGTACTTTCCAACTGAATCATGATGAAGCATTTGGACATTTTTTTTTTTCTTTTTCAATTTAGTTTTAAAATTCATAACTATACAGTATTCTAAAACTAATATTGAAAATTATATTTCGACCAAATCGGGTGTATCCGATATCCAAATGTATACGACGATTTTGCTTGTCTGACAAATGTATTTAATTACAAATACAAATTTGCAATTAGTTCTGTGGTGTTCTAAAATTTTATGTTTAATTTCGGCATTCAATATTTAATTTATAACCCTTCTACATTCTGCAATATTTTAAATGAAATTCGAATTTTTAACATTTTGTTGTAATTCTCAAATCAAAATTCTTTTACAAATCCTTTCCTTGAGCTACAATTTAGTTGTAACGAAACTACAATCGAATGGTACACTTACCTCAATGTATCCCTGGATACTCTCGCACTGCTGCAACACTAACATGGCTGGATTCGATTTTATCGATGTAAACTCCTCTGGCGAGCACGGACTAAGGAAGCCACTATCCGCATCGCTGTGAGTTGACAGCGGTCGGGGCTTTCGAATTTTATACTGAATATTACGACTAGGAACCGGACCCGGATTAAAGAGCACATAGTTTAACTCGATTGTTTCGTTTTGTGAGCGCATATCGTTTAAAACATTGTCGGCACTCAAAAGCATTTGTTGTAAATGGAACATGTGTTTCGAATCGACGAGTTCCGATACGGCCCGCGGTTGTTGTTGTTGTGTGTTTGACGCACCCGATTTTTGGTTATCGTTAGACTTGCCATCGTGCGAAGATTTGTGGGAGCGAAACGGAGAGAGATTCAAGAACGTCAATTTCTTTTTAGTTCTCTGCAATGTTGTCTGCGAAGATGTGTTCGATGATGAAGAGCTGTTGGAATTCGTTGAGGTGGAGGACTCAACTAAGGCTGTAGATGTGGTAGTGATAGTCGAGTTCGAGGTGTCCTTACTTTCTTGGCTGTTGGACATACTGGGCGCGGTCTCAAACGCATTGAGGAGTTTATCGAGACTTTCGGAAGCTTTCAGTGAGTCGGTATTATTTACATAGGTGTGCTGGACAGACGTTAAGTTCGCATGTACTATTTGTTCATTTGTATAGGGATTGGGTATACCAATGTCCATGGGAGGTTCCTTTTCGAAATCATCTGGGTCGATGACAAAATAGTTGTGATGATCGAAATTTTTTGGCGGCTCCTCCGGCCTGGCATCGGACACTTCAACTTCTTGATCGTAAATGACTTCTGGTACCAATTCTTCTTCGCTAAAATCTAAATTTTGCCTCGAACTAAAGAGTGGATCTCTCAGGCCGTGGTTTTGTTGTTGCAGAGGAACATGCATATGCAGGGAATCGTGAGTACGTCTTCGCAGTGTCTTCTCGTTGACAAAATCCATAGGGTCGAATAGACAGTAGTTGTCCATGTGCGAGGTATTTGCCTTTCTCTGTCTTACTGGAAGATTCTTCAGTTTTTCGGTGTAGTCGGCATCATTGTTGTTGGATGCATTTGACCCGGGAGGGCTACTCTCGGGGGCAGGTGGAGGTGGTGATACCTCACTCGATGAGTTTGGTTCTTCGCAGGGCTGTTGAGCGTTTAAGGATTTCTGGGATGAACGATGTAGGGAAGCAAATATTCCTTTGGAGTTAATGCGAGCTATGCAGTTCTTCAATTCCGTGACCCTTCCCTTGTAGGGGCTATTATTGTGGGATGCAGAAGATGAGTCACAGGCTTCCAAATTTCTAATGTTTGACGTACTGCATGAGGTGTTACTGTCATGCTGTTTGGCTAATTTACTCAATTCCTTCCTTTCCTTTTTACTTAAGACCACCTTGCCACGAAAGGGACTGGAGGGACATGACTGTACTCCGCTTATTTGGGAATTTCTGGGATTTCGGGAGGGTAACTGGGATAAAGGCGGCGGTGTTGGCGGCGGAGGATCTCTGTACGGTGGAGGCTGCAGTTGCTGACTTTGATCCGGCGTTGAGGACGTACAGGCATTTGAAGGCAATGTTGTTGCCTCGTAACACACTGGAAAGTCACGAAAGAGCTCCCTAAATTGGCAAGACTCCCGACCAGGACCCTCTCGAGTACTGAAATCAAACTCCATGTAATTTTCATCGTGGTACACATCACCACAGGGTTGGCTTTCCTCATTTGAGTACTTGGAGCGTTTTGTGGATGGTATTCGCATAGGTGCAGCCTGCTGGGAGCAAGTACTGCTGCCGAGATTGGATGTGGGCGATGTAGTGGTAGAGTTTGCATTGCGATCGGAATTTTTTGCAACCCTCTGCTTTGATGCATTCTCAGTGCTATTGGTCTTACTGCGTGGGGACCTTTGCATACTGGCTGAGGACTTACTGACCGACCGAGATTTCAGTGATGAACACTTGGTAGATGTATTTTGGTTGGAAGACAGATGTGTTGTTTAGCTCCTTACTCATATTGATCGTGATTTCTTTGATCTTCGACGGAACATTATTACTGGAGAAGTGATCGCTAACCGCCACAAATGCTTCACTGTTTGTAGCAGTTTTCCATTTTGCGCCATACATCGAGCTTTCGATTGGTTAAAAGGTGTTGTGGTATATGCCTTGGCTCTTGTGACATAAATTATTTTTTAAAAGGCGGTTTTGTGTATCGTCGTTAGAAGGGTTGTCATCACTCGGAATAAAGTCAACGGCATCAAATATATATTTCTTTTAACTCTCACTGATTGCATTTAATTGGATTTTTTGTGTTTTGTGCAATTTCGAAGAAAGAAGTAGATCCCACTCCTCTTTCCCACTCAAAGTTGGTTGTTGGTCAAAAGGAAGAGATGACCAGTAGTCATCGCCAAGCTGATGCTGAAGTTTACGCGTCCATTACGCCTGTCGGCACTTTCTTTAATTGTTTTCATAAATCTCAGTGTACAGTTTTTTATTTTTTTTTAAATTTTGGATTTGTTCTGTCCTTGGGAAAAGGAGAACAAGCAGTAGAGTCCGAATGAGACAACTGTGAGCCCGAATGGGTTTTTTTCTGTCGCTTAAAAAGTTAATGGGTTTCTGGCCATATCACTTTGTTGTTTGTTTGAAAGGATACTTTTAATATTTGGATAACAATGTTGTTTTACCCCTTTTGTTTATTTGAGGTAAAGTAATTTGTTTTCTTTTTCCCGGCACATCACTCTTTTTTTGCGGGGTAGATTTTAATGAAAACAAATGGTTTTGACTATTTTAAAATAATATTGTTGTTTGAATTCACAGTCGAACAAATGTAATAACTTCAAGGAATGGGTTGCTTCATTAAAATACTTAACCGGGCTTCTGTTTTTTTATTTTATTTTAAAGTCAACATAATACAGAGGTGCAAAGATAACATCCTCAAAAATGTTGTTTCATAATTTTCTGGTTGAACTTTTAATGACCTACTTTTCGATTACTTTTAACTTCAAAACAAGTAAAAACCTAAAGTTCGGCCGGGCCGAGCTTTTATTACCATCCACCATTGGGTAAAGAAAACATTTTTACATAAAGGTATCTGAATTCAAACGTGTTCCACTTTAAACTGCAAATACCAGCAAGACCGTTTGGATAATGCTTTTAAAATTTTCAAAAAACCACAAGGTGGGTGATCCACTTATATGGGGCCATATCAAAACGGGAACCCGTATAGGCAATTCTTCTAAAACAGCAAATTAAAAATAATTTCGTGTCGAAAAAACAACAATGTGTCGAAATAATGTGGGCTACATCGTGATTTCAACAGACTGATGGACATCGTTAAATCGATCCTGATTATGAATATTTAGGGATGTTACAAACGGAATGACAATGTTAATATACTCTACTTTTCAAGGATAGGGTATAACAAGTACTTTGACGGAACTTAATGTAAGTAATTTCTTTATTCTTAATTTCTGTTTGTATGCTAATGAATTTACCTGACTTTAGACCTTACAAATGAAAAATCAAGGCTATGTTCGCTAAATAACGCAGCTAGAAACGTAAAATACTCCGTGTAATCAAAAATGGGAATTTTTTTCGTGAGTCCATGAGCTCGAGTGAGTACCTTACCAAGTGAATTTTATTGGGAAATTTGGTTACCTTATAAGGGAGCTATAGCGAAAAGTAACTTGCACTTAAAGGGTATTTTCAGGGACACTGAAAATCAGAATTAAAAATGTCAAAGTACATCCTTCAAATATCATCATTTGGGAACTGTCCCAATCGTGGACCAATCTATACCAATAACTTTTACTTGGTTTAACTTAATATACCAAGTACCGTTATTGACGCTGCAAAACCCATAGAATTACGGTTAGATAGCTTCATGGACTTCAAGTATCAATGTCGTTAAAATACTTAAAATCAGGCGGCACCCAACGAAAAAGTAAGTCGAATTTCAATTTAAACACATGCATGTTCAAAATTTTAGCCTTCTTTTTCAATCCGTTCAAAATTTCGCACTGAGCAATAGAATATACTCTTTAGAGCCTAACATGATTTTTTCGAGGAGTTACAAATGGAATGACAAAGGTAATAAACCTCCATGCTCTATGCTATGGCAAAGCGTACAAAAGGCGCCCAAAATATACTTTGTAACACTAATTTCTAAAACTACACGGAAATGCCAAGTCTGTTTAGATTCAAGTCAATGATAACTTGCACGGCCTCCAAATCTATACCAAATTCACTCTATCTTTTCCATCAGTTTCTTCCAAAATAACTTTTAGAATAGTTCTGTTAACTTTCTTTTTTTTCCTTGTTTTCCCACATTTCTGTCGATAAGCTTTGCAAACATTTTTCAGCGCTGAGATTTTTGTATAAATAACTTGTTGTCATCCCACTCCCTGCTGATGTGCTCCCATCGCTTGGTGCACAGAGAATAGAACGAAATAGTTAGGACTTGTGAGGTTTTCATGGTACGAGTACTTTTCTTTCTAATGTATGGAACATGTTTCCGATAGTAGATGCTTTTGATCTGGTTTACGAAAAGTGGTTTTCTAAGAGTTTTTCAAATGTGGAAGTGGTTTCTTTTTGCAGTTTTCATGGTAGTTGTTTTCCTTTTTATTTTCTGTTCTTAATCATGTCAATGACAAAGTTATTTGTCAACCTCTGCACTAGATTTGTTTATATTTTAACTTTATTTAACTTCTAGTCGAGTGGTAAATGGTAGAACAGAATGGAATGCATTTATGGGTTGTGATTGAAAGTTGTTGTTTTTTTTAACAAGAAGCATAAGAACTTTTCTCCACATATTTCTTGTTGCTAAGAAAGCAGTAGTTCGGTTACAAATGTTTGTTGTAGAAAAAAACACTAAATGTTACAGCAGTGCTCAAACGGATATGCGCCGTTTTTTTCACTTCCGTAAAGAGGAGAACATTTTCCTCTTCTGATTTTTATCATATCATTAAGAATGGCAATTAGTTTCTTCTAATTTTCACAAAGATGTCTCAGGGAATAGAAACTAACAAATAAACATTGGATTTAATTACCTTCAATAAATATGGGACAAAGGGAATACATTTTTATTTCATTCCTCCTCACACTGAACACAAAAAAGTGACAATGGAGGCGTTCCTCACACCGGACTAGAATTGCTGCTATTATAATAGCGAAAATATATATTTTTTCTCAAACTTCTCCAAAAAAATATAATAACATGTCTTTATTTTTGCATAATTTTTATCTTAACAATTCTTATTTATCTTTTTGTTTTGTTTGTTTTTTTCTTTTATAACTAGCACTTGTAACTCGTGTGATCTGATCCGATCTGAGCTGCAGCTAAGGGCTACATCCAAATCTGAACCAATTTTTGGCGCCATTAGAACATTTTATCAGCGAACTGAAAAACCATAACGAGAGTAAGTACACATTATTTTTCCTACATATTTTGTTCATTTTTTTATTTTTTTAAAGCAATACAAAGCTTTTATTAAAGCTTGAAATATGATTTAAAAAAATATTGGCCTAAAACTTTTTTAGGATTTGTTTATGGATTTTTATTGCGCAATATAAACCTCTGCAAGTGAACTGAGGGTTTGTGATATTGTTTCATGTTTGCCAGACTCAACACTGCATGAAGAATATTGGATTCTATAGTCCAAAAACTAGAACATAATAATTAACGTTCCCATTTGGCTACTGTGATTTTGGAAGTTTTTCAAGTTTTCCCCCAAACAAGGCTATTTCATAAATTACCTTGCGTCGGACGCATTGTCACGTTGTGTTAGGCACGTAGGTGCGTGTTACTACCGGTAACATTCTGTGAAGTGTAGCTAGCTATTCGACAAACGTAACTCAAGGAGGCATGTATCAAATGCCTTTAGCTGGGCACAACTATTATTGGCAGACATCTTGTGACCAAAACGTAGGCACGTGATCGACAGAGAAGGGAAAACTTACAAAATTAGCACGTAATTTACTTTTGAGAGTGTTTAGGAGTCCACATTGAAAGGCTAAAAAGCTTGCACGTTTTTGGCATAGCTTAAATCAGAAAAGTGAAAAAATTAAATAGCACTTCAGGCAAATTAATGTTTAGACAGAAAATGGCGAAGGGGGAAAAAGGATTCGAAAAAACTATTCAATATTCTAGAATTAAATAAATTTTATTCAGACCATTGCATTGCTTTTCGATGACAAATGGAGATATAAATATGGAACGTTTCAACAGTATCATCGTCTCCTGAGTCAAACAGGAAAACTATGAAGGCAATCATCTGATGCATTCAGAATTAAAAAAAAAACTCATTCAGTTATTGTTTGATATAACTTAGAAACTAACTTTTAATTCTTGTTCCATAGGATGCCAAAGTAAACTTCAATTTCCTATTTCCGTCCCGGGTTATTCTAAAATATTTCATTACATACACGACGTTATGTTTCCAAGCTAAACAACAGTGCTAAAACCATTACGGAGGGATTTGTGTTATACAAGACTCTCTGCTGTATTTTATTTCTTATTGCAAACATCTTAAAGCGTATTTTATGTGAAGGACTTCGTGGGGTTAGGCCATATTCTCCTCCAGTTTTATTTACTTTCATGAGACTCCATAATGTTCAAAGATCACGAATTCCTAATGCGACCATTTGCTATTTACACACAATAGCAAACTGAGAGTTTGGCAAAAGGGAAGCGAACGGAGCTTTTCTTTTCTGCTCGTGGTCATAATTTATCCAGTGGAACCTTTTATGTAATCCACACATTATGTGCGACTGTTTTGCGACATTATTTTTTATTATTTTTTCGGCTTATTAGGGGTAGAAGGAATCTGTTAGTGTTAAGTTGTTGTTTTAGGTGGAACGACACTTTTGAAAGGAACACGACGGAATGTTATTTGCTCCGTTGCCTCTTCTCTTGGAGAGATAATGGCCACAAAGGAATTTCAGTGCAATATTACAAAAACAAAATGTATTTTCATTTGTGTATGTTGTTGTTTTGTTTTATTGTACTTAAATTCAAATCCTTCTTTAGACAGTCTGCTCTCCCTCTCAAAAACGTATCACAATTTCATGGCGGGTTTTTATTGTTAGCATTGGTATCTCAAAGGAGACCGTTGTGTACGGAAACGGAAAAGCTTTTTTGCTGCCGTTGCTTTACGGAGTCTTCAGTGATTTGTGTACTGGAATGTATGTTAATTTTTTTAAGGAAACCGAAAAAAACATGCCGACACTGTTCGGGAAACCTTTATATGTATGATTGGAACATTGTATAAGACACTTCTGTGGATTATTGCAATGCACTTCTTTTTTGCCCTTGATATTTGCGTATTTACAAGTTGTAGCACTTGGGGTAAACGGTAATTTAGAATTGGTACACTGTTATTCCTCAAGACGGTGTCATTCTCTTAATGTATTTTCACCTTTATGTCAATTCGCCAAGTCGTCGTTTAACGTCGCTTTATCACTTAAATTGAATGCGAGGCTCAAAAGAATGATTTCCAGACTAAAATATGTTCGAGGACGTGATATCAAATTATATTTTGGATTGCTTAATTTGTTTACATTTATTTTAACGCTTTTTGTTGCACTAATACACTTCAGTTTAATTAATGGATTTTAGCATAGAATCGTTGCATATTTTTAATTACATATTTCATATTTATTAGTTGCTCACTTTCATAAAAAGGATCACTGTTTATTATAGAACTCTGAGATTTTAAGAATTAAATAAATATATCGATATTTTCTAATAACCTCTTGCTGACTTCACTTCGGTATTACTATTTTTCTTTTGGGCTTGAGAAGGATATCCTCGCATAATTTTCAAATAAGATTAATAATCCGTTTCAGTAACTCGTTAGGTGTTTCTTCTTTCACAGACAACCGTTAACTAAATTGGCATTAAGTGGCACAACACAAACTTCTGATTGTCTCTCTCAAAGGACTTTCATGAAAGGAAATTCTCTCTCAATGGCCTTACTGGGAGAGGATATATTTTTTAACCATTAATTGAATCTGTAAGGGCATTGCGAGCTATTTAAAACATATAGTTTAAAATAACAAGCAATGCAGCAATTGATATTAATTAATTGGTTGTACCAAGAGCGGATAATTATTTACACGGCACCGATGATGTAAATACCATTTACAAGAATTCCATTAAATACGTCAGTATTTCCGAAAGGTTTTTCCCAAGGAACACACATTCACACCAATATTCTTCTATGTTATGTTTTTAATTTGTTTCTCTTTGAATGAAAATGTACTTTCATTTCGCGCGAATAATTTCCAAATAAGCATAATATTCCGGCTCGGCACAACTCGACGAGTTTCTTCTTTCGCAAACAACCGGTGACTAAATTGACAGTAAATGGCACAACACATTCCTTTAATATTCCCTTTCAAAGGACTTTCCTAAAGGGAAATTCTCTCTCAATGTCATCAAAGAGAGAAAATATTCCAGTTAGATGTTGTTTTAGCAGTCCTCCGTGTTATTTCCCCTGCAACTACTACTGTGGTAGTAGCTTGTTGACCTTCGTACTCTTGCTATTTGAATTTCTTTTTCAGTTAGGGGTTGTTTCTCCGTTTCTGACGGGGAAAATCATACTTCCGATTGTTTTGGTTATCCTATTTCATTTTGCTTGACTAACAGGTTGTTTTTATGACGTCATAGATTACTTCGGTCTCTGGCTATCGGTTTTCCAGTGCAAGGGGTAAAACACTTCGGGATATTTCCCCTTCTAGTGAAAAGAAGCCTTCTAAAGTTATTTAAGAAAAAGTGGTTTAATTATTAATTTTAAATAACCCTGGTCTTGTGGAATGTCTATAGAGATTTATATTTATAAGGTCAGTAAGGAGGTGAATTAAATATAAAAAAATTCTGCCGTTTCTTCAAAGTTTAATGTTAAAGTGTTTCTTGCTGGCAATACCTTTGTCCAATTAAGATGGATTTTGGATAGTGAGATCAAGTTCCGACTAGAATTAAGTATGTCAAGTTGATATTATTGACTTCTAAATCTTACCCAAAAATATCTATGAATAATCCACTGAAACTGAAAAAACCGATGTGTATAAACGCTATTTTATAATACTGCTGTTGAACAGAGATATGACCATATTCTCATCTATTACCGATTATCAAAATGAAAGTGGCAACGTATGAAAAAAGAACATATGTTTTAAAACGGCATGTCTTTTTAGTTTTACTAACTAGCTCGGAGCCGCGTTCCTGGCTTGCAATTGAAGATTAACTTCAACTTCAGCAGTAGTTGTAAACTTATTCGTCAGAGGAACATTATTTAAGAAAAATTAATGAAATGGTATAGAAATTTCCCCGGTCAACGTAGCTTCCACATAGGGGCTATAAATTGTCAAACGGACGATTTTAGTTATTGTGAAGTTCCTATGACACATTAATTAAACGAATCAGCTGTGATGTAGTATTTGTGACCGCTAATGACATCTTGATATCTTCACTAAAACAGTTATAATGGTTCAATATTTAATGTAGCCGTTATGCATTTATAAGTTATGCCTGTGGTTTGAGATCTGAATGTGTGTTTGCTATAACTTCTATACAATAGTAGTACCCTCTCTTACGTTCCTTAAGATACTTATAATATATAAACCTTTATTGGTAGTATTCATTTTCGGTGTTTTGGTTTAGTACAATTTTTACAAATAGTTCACATTTCCAAAGCCAGCTTTTCGCATCAATCCTAATTCCCAAACTTAATTTTTATACTAAATGTCAAGATTTTAGCTCAATCCGTTCTCATAATACTAAAAGTACTACTACTAAGTACTTCCCCCAAAAAACAGTCTATTCTACCACCATTTAGCGAGCCTCATTCTAAATTTCAGAATTCCCGTCCAGTGCACTGGATACAATTTTTGTATCTTTTAGCACCTTCATGTTTCGCAATGAATGCAATGTTCTCTTGAATGCATGTAAATCATACGCATTTCTTGAAATGTTCCAAGTTTTCCACAAATAATTTAAAACAATTCCACACAAAATTCCTTTTGACATTTCCAATTTTTTTGAGGCAATTACAAACAACTATCCAGCTGTTCTCAATTGACGAGTTACTATGCATTTGTCACTTCATTTTTATACCCTTAGCCATATGGCTAGAGAGGGTATACATCATTTGATACGGCCAAAACGTGTATCTTTGAACCAAATCCAATCCCGGTTTGAACCAAACTTGGTACTTCGTAATATTATTGTCAAACTTAGATCGAGTTCGGAGATGGGCAATACAGTCCAATCTTTCTGGTACCGCCCCATAAAATGTTAACATTTTCAAAGAAAATAATTTACTGCACAGAAAGATAAAGGATATTCCGATTTTGTTCCAACTTTGCAACTCCTAATATTTGCATCAGTACTAGGTCAGGTGCGAAAATTGGCAATATC